GGCGGGACACCCCAGGCACCCGCCCGCCACGCGACCAGGGGGGACTTCTGACCTCGCCGCGCCCCAGCCAGAGGAGGGTTCACTGCTCTCGCCCGCCCACGCAGCTTCGCCTCGCACGCACGGCACGAACCCGAAACCGAAACCGATTTCCTGGTGGGCCCGCCCCCCCCCCCCCTGGTACGGCCCTTCCTGGGGGGTTTCGAGCTGGCGGCACCGCCGGTGCGGACCGATACGAAACCCCCCGGGAAGCACGAAACCCCGCGGGGATGCACAGAATTCTTCGGGATGAGCCTCAAGGCACCCCCGGTGCGTGCCCGTACGAATCCCCGGGGAGATTCGGAACGTCGTCAGAGGCAGGTGGGCCATCTGGGATGCAGCGCCGCCTCCCGTTGCCACATGCCAAGCAATTTCGACAACAGCGTTGTCGACTCCTCCTCCTCCTCCTCCTCCTCCTCCTCCTCCTCCTCCTCCTCCTCCTTCTCCTCCTCCTCCTCCTCCTCCTCCTCCTCCTCCTCCTCCTCCTCCTCCTCCTTCTCCTCCTCCGCTTCCTCTTCTTTTTTGCCTGGGCAGCCCCTCGTGCGACGAGCGGGCGGGCACGGCGGCCGCGCGCGGCCGGAAGTTCCTCCTCCTCCTCCTCGGACCCACCCGCCCACGTCGTCAAACCTCCCCTCCCCACCGCCCCCACCCCACGCCCACAGGGAGGGGGAGGGGGGGTCCGAGTCGTCGGCGGCCCCCGGTGCGCCCGGTACGCAAAGCAAGTCCAGGCAAGTCTGATTCGGAAAGAATTCTGTCACGCCGAGGGCAATACCAAGGCGGATGCTCTCGACGCGGAGTGCATCAAATTTAAAGTTCCGCCCCCCGACTACGGCTCGGCCGCGAAGCTGGGCCAGTTGCTCGACGAGGCCGTCCAATTCATACAGCTCGTCTTGCAATTTCGCCCTCCGTGGATGGAGCAGGGCTTCCCCCAGGCTCTGCCAGGGGACGGGCTGCTGCCCAGGTTCACGAGGCCATCGTTCTTATTTTGGCCCGCCTCCGAGGCGCGCACGCTCTTCGGTAGCACGGTGTGCGATCTGCTCGCGAAGCGCCTGGACGACGTGGACCTCGAGCTCGTCGGCATCATAGCTTGCGCGCTTCACAAGTGCACGGAGATCATGAAGCAGCCCACGGGCGAGGTGTGCATGAACGCTGCCTCCATGTCGCGGTCCACGTAGAGACTGGAGGGGCGCCCGCCGTACCATTGCAGAAAGCGCGTGGCGAGGCTGCACGCGTGGAGAGTGCGCCCAGCCCTGCCAGCGCTGCTCTCCGCGATCTCTGGCCCGACCCCGTGGTGCAGGGCGTCGATGCCAAGCCAACGCCTCTGCGCGTCCCGGGGCCCGCGCGGCTCTGGGCGCAAGAGCGCCGCCTGCCACACCGGGGCGGCGCGCTCTCGGCGGCCCTTAAGGTGCCACGACCCAAACCGCGAGGCGCAGGTCCGCAACCGCCGTGCAGACCCTCGGCATGCGCAGACGTGGCACAGGTGCAGTGCAGAGGACAGCGAGGCGACCTGTCTAGCATCGCAGGCTACTTCGCCTCCGGGTTCCTGATCAAGGCGTTCTTTTGCATGCGCTTCGCCTTCGGCACCGCCTGATCCCGGGGCTTTGCCCTCCCTCGGCCTTGACGTGAGGCCCCTCCCTCTGTTTTCCTTCCTCTGCTAATTAAAGCTGTGCGCGGCCCGCTTAGCTTCGGCCGGAAGAGGCTCGCTCTCGACCCGCGGATCAAAAAAAGAGTCTCGCATCGCAGGCGTTCCAAGCGTCCACGCCGCTCGATCACTGGGTCGGGGGCCGCCGAGGTGCCGGGCTCTGCCAGCGCGGTTGCCTCTTCGAGCGGATTGGGACCGCACCCGCCGATCGAGCACGGACGCTGGCGCCAGTTCGAGCGGACTCGAAGCCGAAAGGTGCACGCGGGGAGGGTTGCGCTGCTGCTGCTGCTGCATCCGCCTTTGTACCCCCGCCGCCCCCTGCCCCCGCCCCCGCTCCTCATCCCAACCCTTCTTCTCATCCTCCTCCTCATCCCTCGACGGTCGAGGACTGACGATCCACAATCAGCGATCGACAATCGAGTTTCGACGATCGATGACCCAGGATCGACGATCGAGGTTCGACGATTCAGGATCGACGATGCACGATGGAGCATTAACGATCGACGATCTATCATCGAGGATCGACGATCGAGGATTGAAAATCGAGGATCGACGATCGACAATCGAGAATCAACGATGGAGGGTCGAGGATCGACGATCGACGATCCAGGCAAATCGATAGTGAGATCGACAGTCAGGACAGAAGGAGGAGGAGGAGAAGGAGGAGGAGGAGGAGGAGGAGGGAGAGGAGCTGGGTGCCCCGTCCCCCCCCCACACCACCACCACCCCACATAAGCCCCCATCACCCGAAGGGAGGTCGTACAGGTGTTTGTTGCAATGCTGTCTGGATTTTCTAAGCGCGTCGGGGGGCCTGGCACTCCTGCGCGAGACCCCAGTGAGTCATGCTCAAGTGGGTGTTCGAGCCGAAAGCCCATATACGACGGGCTGGCAAATTTCTGCCCGCGCGTTGAAAGTTTCGACCAGGATTGTCGTCCTGTCTCACGTTCCTTCAGCGGCACACATCGAGATGCAACAACAGAGATGTTGCGGAAAAGTCATGTCCGATCCTGATGTTGCCAAGAGATTGTTTTCGGGTTCCTGGAATTGTGGCTCGGGTGCGCTGGGTCACCCAGGGGTATGGCGCGAGAGCTCAGAGGACTAATTGTCAAGCTGATTTCGGACCAGACATCAACCTTGCCAAACAGATCACGAATGTTTGTCTGCAAAGCCGTATTGTGTTCATGTTGTTTCTTGCCCACGAGCCGTCCGATAGGGAACAGCGACACGTGAGGAGTTAACCATGCAGCTTGCGATGTTCGAAATCAAAGCTGATGATGAATCACGTTATTCTCGTCCGTGCGCTCTCGACTCACAGAATGTACAGAAGCTTCCGCTGCAGGCAGGGTGTGGATGGAGAGCCAGCTGGGCATCGTGTACACGGTGGTCCAGGTGGGCTTCGCATGGTGGCCCAATCGATGATGTACGTTTGATCCCCAAGTTTTGTAAAATTGCCATTCCATCGGTATCGTTTGTGGTTTCTGTTGGCCCTCTGGGCCCCAGTGTCGCCACGGCTGGAGGCGGACAGAAAAGATGACCAAGCAGGTGCTGGGGAGGGGTCGGAGGGCGACGTTCGCAGGTTTTGCTGTGAGGCGGAAATGCAGACCTTACTCTGGCCGATTGACCTTGCCAGTGAAAGCAGCCCCTCTGCATGATTGCCCAGAGGGGTCTGGGGAGTTGAGACATGCATTGGGGGGCGGCAAACAATCTAGTCACCCTTCGCTAGGGCACACCATGGCAAAAAAGACGGACAGACGGTTGAATGTGTACGACACTGGTGTGTCATCTTTTGTGCGTTGTTGACCCAGTAATTGGGATGAGCATAAGCATCATGCCTCGTCACTTACATTACTTCATCTTTCGGTTTGGTTATGTGGCAAGTTCGTGTCGGTAAGTGGAGTTAGTGTAGCTGCCAGGCGGGCGGAGGCACGAACCGCAGGTGGGCACATGTGGCGACAGGCGGACCATTGCCTATGTAGTGTTTACTGGTTCGAGTCATCACCACTGCCAGACAAGGTTTCATCTTGTGGCTGGTGTGTCACAACTGCACCAACCACAAGACCGTCTGGGTGACCGCATGGTCGCATGGTCCATCGCACGGTGTTCTAGTTCGTTCATTCGCAGGCATCTGGATCACAATCGAGATTTGCACCATGGTCGATGTTTTGTTGGGCCGTGTGGTCAAGGGTTGTGGTTAGCGATGGGATCTGGCGGACATTCAGCTGTGAGGTAATCCCACCAGCCATTTGGACGTGCGTTGTTTCCCCGTGTTCGTTCTTCCAACGCCATTCTTCCTTTTGGGAAGTAGTTCCCTACCTAGGCTCTGCCTAGGGGGTTCTTTCTTGGTTTGCTTAAAGGGGCCGGCAGTGTAGGCCGCCCCGGGCGGTTCCCCCAGTCCCCGCCCCGCGGTTCCCCCAGTTGCGCCCCCTGGGTTCCCCTAGCTTAGCTTAGCTTATCTTACCTTACCTTTAGCTTAGCTTAGCCCAGCTAAGCTTAGCTTAGCTTAGCATAGCCGAGCGTAGCCTAGCCTAGCTTAGCTTAGCTTTGCCTAGTCTAGCTTAGCTTAGCTTAGCTTAGCTTAGCTTATCTCATCGTAGCTTAGCTTAGCTTAGCTTAGCTTAGCTTAGCTTAGCTTAGCTTTGCCTAGTCTAGCCTAGCTTAGCTTAGCTTAGCATAGTTTAGCGTAGTTTACATTAGCTTAGCGCAGCGCAGCGCAGCATAGCGCAGCGCAGCGTTAGCACAGCATAGCATAGCATAGCATAGCATAGCCAAGCTTAGCATAGCATAGCATAGCTCAGCATAGCATAGCATAGCACAGCAATTCATAGCATCGCATAGCGCAGCATAGCATAGCATGGCATAGCATTTGTTAGCATCGCACAGCGCAGCATAGCATAGTACAACACAGCATATTATAGCATAGCATAGCATAGCGCAGCATAGCATGCCACAGCATAGCCTAATTAGCATAGCATAGCATCGCACAGCATAGCATAGCGCAACATAGCATAGCATAGCATAGCCTAGCATAACACAGCGCAGCCAAGCGCACCCTAGCAAAGCATAGCGCAGCATAGCAAAGCATAGCAAAGCATAGCTGACAACTCCTAGGTAGGGTCGCCCCCCATACTAAATTTCCTGGGTCTGAAAGGGGAAGGGGGTCGCGGGCCGTCAGAGGTTTCAAGATGGATCCCAGGAGGCCCCAGATGGCCCAAGATAGCCTCCGAGGTAGAACAAGATAGGCTAGGGATGGTTTTCAACATGCCTCCAACATACCGCACGACCGCCACGAGATGCGACGAAGCTTCACGAGAACGCAGCCGAGAAGCCAAAGTCTGCCAATACTTCTTTCTCAAATCAAGCATGTCTTGCACGATTTTAGTTTCGCTTTCGATAGAAGTTGAAGGCTTCAAAGTTGCGCCAAGATCGCCCGAGAGAGCCCCAAGGGGGGTCCATACAGGCTCCAAAACGGCCCCAAGAGCGCTCCAAGATTGCCCCAGGAGTGCAATGCGCGATGAACTCATGTATTACTCGAGGGCCCCGAGAAGATCCGACAGGCCCCCCAGCGAGCCCCAAGAGGACCCCAGCGGTTCCCAAAAAGGCGCCCAGAGAGTTCCAAGATGGCTCCAGGGAGCCTAAAGGAGTTCTCCAAGCTCACTAGTGCCGTCACCGCCCCGCCTTGCACGCACCGCCTTGCACGCACCGCGGGAGGATGCGGGGAGGAGGAGGAGGAGGGAGGGGGAGGAGGAGGAGGGGGAGCAGGAGGAGGAGGAGGAGGAGGAGGAGGAGGAAGGAGGAGGAAGGAGGAGGCGGAGGAGGCGGAGGAGGCGGAGGAGAGTTCACAAGTTTCAGTGAATGTCTATGTGATTATTTTTCAGTTGACAGTTCGCGTGGACATCGTTGCTGGATGGGCTGATGGCGGCACGCGAGGCGTCAAGAGCTCGCCATCCGAGCGAGAGCTGCTTGCAACCAGCAGAGCATTGCCCGTCGTCGAGCGCTTGCTTCTGCACAACGGGGGGGCAAGCTCGATCGCGATGGGTAAGTCATGGAAAATACGCAAGGCTTCTGGTTTTCCTTTTGCAACACCGCGCTTGGGCCCAATCGATCGGCACGCCGCCTCAAACTAAAACCAGGCAACGCCTGGGGGGTGGGCTGAGCTACCTTTCTTGTCCAGGCCTTGCCTACTGCGCCGCGCGAGAATTCGGCCCCGCCGTGGGCAAGGAATGTCCCGTCGGGGCCCGGGCCTCTTGGCACGATCGTATTGGTTCTGTCCTGCACGGCCGATTACAATGAAGGAGAGGCAGGGGAGAAAGCGAGAAAGAAAAAGATACGGGCAGATAGACAGACAGACAGACGGACAGAGACAGAGACAGAGAGAGAAATTGAGAGAGAGTTAACAGCAGCGCAAGAAAACAGGAAACGACCCGGTCGAACACACATGGGTAGGAGCCAGCGGAGCGTTCTAAGGCAACAACAAAAAGGAGGGAGAGCGTCGAAGTGACGGCAAGCAAGAAGGCGTTGACTTAGCAGCGGCGTTCGAGCAACGCGTGACGACTTCGCCGGCGCAGTATCAGCGATCTAAGTTGACAGCAGTGACCGTTGTAGCACCAGCAATGCCTTGGCAACAGCGGACCATCCTCCCCCGAGGCTGGCGACACGTTTGGCGAGGCAGGCGCGTTCGGAATGACCGAGGAGTATAGCAGCACGGCCCACGTGTACCAGGAAGCCACTCCCTCCCCCCGTCAGTTCCCGTCCTCTCATTGTTTCCGTCGCCGCCTCTTTTAAATGTTCTGGGTGCTTAATTTCTTCAAGCGAACGGCAAATGCGATCGTACCATGTTGCATAATTATATATATATATATATTGGTTTGTCGGTACACAGCAACGGCTTTGCAGCGGATCAGTCGAATAAGCTCGAAGGAAACACAATTTGTCAAGTGGATATGAACGGTTGCGCCGTGCAAGAAGCAAGCGTTGAACACGTGTTGAAGATGCTTCGCAGCATAGATTATTCATTGGACGATGCATTCGCCCACCATACCATATATTGTTGCGTAGCTGGTTCTGGATTATTGCGGCAGCATGGCGAAGTATACGATTGCATGAGAGTTGCAGGGGGTCGATATGGGCATTGTTGTTCGCATGTAGTGCATATTGTGCATCGTGAATCAATGTTGTACCATTCTGCTCTAGCGCAATTGAAACGAAGAATGATCAGTACAAGTCGGGTCCAATTCCAAGGTTTGCAACGTATGTAGCCGGGAGCCGAAATCCAAAGGGTACAGATTGTTGCTTCGTCCCGTCGCGTAAAAAGTGTGGACATGGACCGTTGACCAAGTATGGTTTCGATGTATGTCAAACTTGTGAGTTGAAATTCTTCACGCTTCGCGTATCCCCACCAGCCCATCTCAAAACAGCAACTCTAGCGAAGCATGCCGACAGTCGTGTTTTTCAGGCGTGTTTCCGCCTGCCCCCGCATATCTCCCCTGTTCCCCCTTCCTCCCGCCTCCTTGTACATCCTCCTTGTGGTGGGAGCGGGAGAAGGACGAGGCGGAGGAGGAGGGAGAGAAAGCGCTCCTCGTGGTTTGAGTCGTTCGGGCTTCTCGTCCTGGTGTGAGTCGTTCGGGCCCTTCTTCCTGGTGTGAGTCGTTCGGGCTCTTCGTGGTGTGAGTCGTTCGGGCTCTTCGTCCTGGTGTGAGTCGTTCGGGCTTCTCGTGGTGTGAGTTGTTCGGGCCCCTCGTCCTGGTGTGAGTCGTTCGGGCCCCTCCTCCTGCCCGTCCAGAAACGACGCCCAGGCGAGTAGAGGGTCGTCCTGATGGGCTTTTCGGCGTCTTGGGTGCCTCGGGGGGGCCTCTTTGGGCCGTTTGGGATCCTCTTGGGGGCCTCCTGGGGGCCTCTTGGGGCCATCTTGGGGCCTCTTGGTGCCTCGTGGGCGCTTCTTGGGGCCATCTTGGAGGAAATCGATCAAAGAAGAGGGGAGCTTTAATTAGCGCGGCCCCCTCAGAATGGCAAAATGGGGCCAAAACCTTAGTAAAATCAATGATTCTGGCTTGAAAGAAGAGGGGAGCTTTAATTAGCGCTGCCCCCTCAGAAGGCCAAAATGGAGCCAAAACCGTAGTAAAATTAATGATTCTGGCTTCAAAGAAGAGGGGAGCACTTTTCTGCCTCCCCCCGTCGGGGCCAGAATCCTCGTGAGGGGTGTCGTTTTTTAGCCCTCCCAGGAGTCGACAAAGACCCCTCCAACGACCCGCGGGGCGCCCTCTCCAGGCCCAGGGGGAGGGGGGAGGGGGAGGGGTAAACCCCTCCCCGAAGGGGAAGAAGGGGGGTTGAGAACAGAGCGAGCTCTCTAAACCACTCACGCCCAAAGGGCTGGTGGGATTGGGCATGGTAATATGCATTGCTTCGCATCGGCTTGAACGAGTGTCGACTTGAAAGTTGAGACTTCGGGATAATTCCCGCTTTGCACGGTGATACCTGGCAGGGAGACGGCCAGGGCCCCCGTGGCATCAGCGTTACCCGAATGTGGTGAGCGGAAGCCGGTGAAATATCCAGACCTCATTGCCAAGTAGTTTTCGGATTTCGTCTGATATATGAATCGGTTTCCTTTTCCGTCGCACCCGGGCCGTGCATATCAAGTACCAGTCGCACTTGTTTTGAATTCTTGTGGTTGCCAGGAAGGCGATGCGTTATGCCGTTATAGAGTGCAAGTCAGTTCGAGCTTTGTCCGACGGGCAACACATTCGCCACAAAGTATTCGAAGCCGCGGGATTGTGGGCACCAGCATTACGATCATGTACAGTTTGGTACGAAGAAACAGTTGAACAAATGAATATATCGAGGTCGCACACTGGTTGCACAAATAAAAATATATACACCTTTATTGCTACACCTGCCTGAAACGATCACTGATTCCAGCAAAGTTGATAATCATTGGAAGTTCTGGGTACGTGACAAAAGTAAAGCGAAGCCCAGTAGGAAATCATTTTCGTTTTCGGTTTGTAGCGTCCCGTGCGCGGGACAAAGCTGCGCGAGCGGGCGAGCGGTCACGGGCCTTTACTCAGCGGCATGTCCGATGGGCATATGTTTTGTATGTGCCAGTTGCGCGGTTGCACCGCACAGTTGTCCCGTTTGTTTGTCCCGCGCGTGTGTCCCGTGTGTGTGCCGTGAAATTGTGACGTGTTTATCGTGTGGTTCTCCCGTGTTGTGATCCCGTGGTTATTTTGGTAGACTGATTCATGGGGGTACATTAGTCGTTTCGTGTGCGTTCCACGGACACATCGATGGGGTTACAGATATTCATGGTCGACATGTTTGTTGGTTCGCCAATCAGCTCGTCAGTTGGACAGAAATTTGGATTGGATCATACCCGCGTCCATTGTTTGTGTAAAAAGTATTCACGTTTTACGTATCTCCACCAGCCCGTTCAGAAACTTTGCCCATGAGAGTCGACGGGAAAAGGGACGAAGAGACACATGTGGTGAAACAAAGCAGGCAACCAGGATGGGCAGCTCATGCGATGCCCCACTGTCCTAAGCTCAAAGATGAGCCGCCACAGGACTGGGCCGCAGCGGCGGAGCAGGGTGGCAATGGGCAGTCTTGCAAGGTGGAGGCGGAGGCGCAAGAGCCCCAAGGACAGGCTGAGCCCAAGTTCTCCCCAGACTACAGCCCAGAGAAAGAGGGGAGCCCCGGCGAAGGCCCAGATGCCGACCCCCTGCAAATGTTTCAAGGATCGCGCAGTGACCAGAAGGATAGTGCCGATCAGAACGGCAGACCTAGCCCCAAAGGGGACGCCGGGGATGCCACTGGGAGCAACCTACCCCCCTAGAGACAAGGGCGCACGCGCCACGCTACGGAGGATACTGCTGGAGGAAAGGGACAGGGAGCTCCGAAAACGCCCAGGTGGAGCCCCGTGCGTCTGGAACCAAGGAAAGGTAGCAGCTCCGATCACATGGTCTCGGGACACCTGAAGGGCCCAGTCTCTGGCGGCCCAATGTACAGATGCTCCCTAGCCGACTCCTGGCTGGACAAGACTGAAGAGACGGCGGCCAAGATTGCTCGGCAATAAAAGACGCTCGGAGGCGTCTTCAACGTTATGTGGCATGCGTGGGCCAAGCGTGCTTCGCAGGGAAAAGGTGGATACAAAAGTAACCCCCTGCTCAATACCGAACAAACCTGCAAGGGCTTCCTGGACGCCTGGAGGCGTGCCGGCTTCGACGCGCACGAGAGGACCGTGCGCATAACTTTGGGGTTGACTGGGACTCCATCCGCCACAACCACATCCCGAAGGGCACCGGAATGCAAGGGAAGGGCGCCCAGGCCTCCTGGTCAACTGACAGCCCGGCAGAAAATGCTGGCGAGTGGCGTGGTTGGCAAGGGTGGTCTTCCTGGCGCAAAGACTGGCCCAAGTGGGGTGACTCTGATTGGAAAGGTGGTGGCAAGCGGTCTCCCCAGCGGGAGGACCAACACGACCCCGAGAAGACGGGCCGTTGGTGGTCGTAAGTCGACGCTGCTGGCCGCTACGCGGGTCTCCTTGGCACATCGGGGCCCCAGACCGCCTATTCCACCCTGGCATCGTCGCAGTGTTCGTGAGCAGTTTGCTCCATTCTTATTTGCCTCCTCCTCCTACTTCCAATCTGTAAGTCGGTCAGCCGCCCCGGGCTCATACGACATCGACAATCGGCCAACAGCCGTCCCTGCCAATTACATCGACAAAATGGCCATCAGCCGCCCCTGGCTCTACGTTCCTGACAGAACGGCCATCAGCCGTCCCTGGCATGGACATCTCCGACAAAACGGCCATCAGCCTTGCCTAGCTTCTTTGTCGCTCCCTGCCTCGCGGCTCGCCGGGCCCCTCTTGGCCCCGCGAGTGCCGGCCCGCTCCAGGGCCCGTCTCACCCCACTGCGCCCTGGCCTGCTGGCCATAATACCGGGGGGGCAGCCAAGCAGTATAGCTAGACACCCTCGGCTGGTTAGATGCAGGTGCAAAGGTGCGCGTCCACTGCGCTGACACATGCAGCCACTTTCAGGCTCCCACGGCGCGCTCGCCCCCCCAGCGCCTGACTTGTCTCACCAGGCGGCTATCGCCTCCCCACTGCCCGGGGACTGCCGACAGCGTACGGGTCAATATTCGCGCCGGCACGCACTTTGAGGGCAGCGTGGCCAGCAGACGTGCTCGTCGCCACTGTCAGTGTTCTCGGCACCGATGGGACAGCAGAGATTGGTGCCCCAGAGGGCTCCCTGTTCCTCCCAACAGCACAGACATTTGTGGTCGGCAACGGGCCTTTTCGGCCACCTGGCCCAGGGACGCTCACGGTCTCCGGCGTGCATTGCTCATACGGCCATCAGCCGTCCCCTGGCACTCTCTCTTTCTCTCTCTTTCTCTCTCTCTCTCTCTCTCTCTTTTTCTCTCTCTCTCTCTCTCTCTCTTTCTCTCTCTTTTTCTCTCTCTCTCTCTCTCTTTCTCTCTCTCTCTCTCTCTCTCTCTCTCTCTCTTTCTCTCTACTGGGAAAGGATGAGACGGCCATCAGCCGCATGCACCTGGCGATTACATGCGGTCCGACCGCCCTGGCTCTAACCATGCAGTGTCCCGTCCCGGCTACGTAAACACCTTCCAGTTGGTCCAGCTGACTACAGGTGTCGTTCGGAGAGTGGACCTGCCAACAGCAGCCCTGGCCTAGGACTTAGCAGCGCTACAACTCCGCGGAGAGGTACTACGCGCTCCT